CAATCTTAAAGTTTTTTCTGAATGTGTTTGATTTATATACCCATTTACCAGCCAAATATTGCATAGTAAAGATTTACTTTTTCATTCTTTTAAGTATGACTCATAGACAAAGAAACGAAAAAGAAAAGACTCATTCTTTGTTTTATCTGAATGATTTATTATTAGTAAGACAAAGAAACATTAACAAAGATAAAGATATGATAAATATATGTATATATATTTAATTATTAGAGAAAGATAATTTGATTATTGAGAAAATTAAGTTTGAGAACAAGCAGTTTCACATTTTTCTTTTGTATCAAAATTATTATTATTAGCACCACATCCTCCATAGATAAAATGTTCACAAGTTTTAATTGTGGAATTATAATAAAATCGTGGAAATGCAGCTTTACATAATCCAACAACTTTTTCTTCTTCACAAATACCTTTGAAAAAAAAAGAGAAGAAAGCGTAAAACATTTTAACGATAGTTTAATTTTTACTTGTATTTCTTTTCGATTTAGGTAAACCACAACGACCTACAAATGTTCCATTAGATAATTTATCAACAAAACATCGTTTATTCGGTCCACAAAGAATCGGCTAATAAGATATATTAAATTGTATTATATTACTAAGAAAAAAAAGAAAAAGACAATATTATTTACCTTTCCAGGTGGATTACATGGATCATAACATTTGCATATTTCACAGCCATCTTGTTTGTGATAACCATATGGACATGTCTTTATTTTTCCTCCACAATTAAGAGGTTTACATGTTTTATCATTTGATGCTAGTGCTTGACTTTCAAAAGTATAAATAAATCCGATGACAACAAATAATACAGTTAATAAACGATTCATCTAGAATAAATATAATAATGATTTATTAGACATTGTTTTAACAATAGAATGTACTTAAATAAAAATAATTTTCAGATGTCGTCGAACATGAATAATGCTTTATTTTAGGATTAAACTGTCGTAATAAATCGAAAAGTCAATCATGATATTCAATGATTATAAAAACGACATGTATATCCATTACGTGATAGAAATGACGAACAAAGGTTGATGATACATTGTTGTCTTTGTAAACTAAAATTCTTTATTAAAAATTTATAAATATTCAAACTATTTGCAATCGTAAACATTTTATATTCATAAAAATTAGTTCGATAGGAAAATTATATAAACTTCTTTTTTTTTTATTGATGTCCTGTAAGCCAATGAGCGACCTCTCTTTTCTTCGTTTTTTTCATTGGACCACCTAGTCAATTTTCAATAGCATCCATATTTCATCCACGATAAATCGTAATTGTATCCCGTTATCTAAATGGGATTATTGACGTTTGATACTATAACAATGTTTCTTTTCTATCTTTAGATTTTATCATGAAGCTAACGTTAACTATACTCAGTGTCTTCCTTCTTATAATTACAATTGGTGCTCCACCTGTTGTCGAAAATGTGAATAAAAATAAACCAAATGCAGAATTAAAAACTGATGAATCTGATGAAGTGGTATGAAATCTTCCTTATTTTTATTATTTTCATTTGATTATTTTAGTTAAATAATCTTGAATATGGTCGATATTTAAAAGAAGTTGTTGAAATTCTTGAAAATGATCCAGAATTTAAAAAACAAATTGAAAATGCTTCTATGGATGATATTAAAGTATATTGAAGAAGAAAAACAAAAACAAAGATTCTTATTTCTCTTTATTTTCTAGTCAGGAAATATTGCTCAACATCTTAATCTTGTTCAACATCATGTACGTACAAAACTTGACGAAGCAAAACAACGTGAAATGTCTCGATTAAGAGAATTAGTTGGACAAAAAATACGTAATTTAAGTGGTAAGATAAATTTTTAAATAAATCTTTATTATTCAAATAAGTTATTTAGAAAAAGAACGATTAGATCTTGCTAGAGCTGATCCAAATGGAAAACATTTGAAAGATTTTCTTCCTTCACATATTGATCATAAAAATTCGGAATCATTTAATGAAGCCGATCTTGAACGTTTAATTCAACATGCATCAAAAGATTTAGATGAAATTGATCGTGAACGTGAAAAAGAATTTAAAGATTATGAAATGAGAAAAGAATATGAACGTCGTGCTAAACTTGCTGTAAATATATAAAATTTACTTTTTCTTTTGAATTAATTCGTATATATATGTATGTTTCTATTTTAAGCACATGGATGAAGAAGAACGTAAAAAAACTGAAGCATTACATCAAGAAGCATTAGAAAAAAAGAAACATCATCCAAAAGTAAATCATCCAGGTAGTGTCGATCAAATGGAAGAAGTCTGGGAAGATGTCGATCATCTAGAAGCTGATCAATTTAATCCTAAAGCATTTTTTAAATTACATGATACGAACAGTGATGGATTTTTAGATATAGCTGAAATTGAAGCAATTATGCTTAAAGAAGTATAAAAAAAAGAGATTATTATAAAAATATTTATTTATTTATTTTAAGGCAGAGAAAATTCATGAAAATGCACCAGAAGCTGATCCAATTGAAAAACAAGAAGAAATGGATCGAATGCGTGAACATGTTATGAAAGAATTTGATAAAAATCATGATTATATGCTTTCATTTCAAGAATTTGAATTAGGAATCAATGGAACAAATGCTAAAAATGATCAAGGATGGCAGGTAAGATGATTGCGTACTTCTTCATCGAAGTTAATCCTGAAACAAATATTATTGAAGTAGAGGTCGACGAATTTTTTTAATGACCTATATACACTTACGAGGGAACCTCACCAGCTGATACACTCCGTTTGTGCTCATATTGGGTCTCCAAGCAGGTCTTCGTGAGACTAGAAAAAAACTAAAAGGATTCATCCCTTAGGCCTTTTTACTGAATTTTTGACCATTTTTTCGATGTTGAGCAAAAAACTAAATAATGGAGTTTTCAGCTGAGATTTTGTCCATAAATAGGTCTAATCATCTGTAGAAAATCCTGAAAATTTCACCCGAAAAAACTGTTCCTGTGTCGAGATATCGAATTTTTAAAAAATCATCGTTTATCGTAGACAAGGAGCAAAAAGCCGATTTACTTGAATATTCACTATCTCGACACAGAAACAGTTTCTTCGGGTGAAATTCTCAAGATATTCTACAGATGATAAGACCTACTTATGGGCAGAATCTCAGCTGAAAACTCCATTATTTGATTTTTTGCTCAATATCGAAAAAATGATCAAAAATTCAGTAAAAAAGCTATAACTCAGCTTCAAAGACCTGAGGGAAAGTTGGTGAGGTTCCCTCGTTAGTGGATGATGTCATGTTTGAAATGGTAGATTATCGAAAGGTTCATGGACGAAAGAACACGCTATCTATATTTCGATCTTATTATTGAGATAAACTATAGAATGAATAGCAAATTCGTACCATAAATAAGTAGAAAGTTTTTTATTAACATATCGAGAATTTCTCTAGCCAATTAACTTCAAATTAATATGCATCTGAATTGTAATTCTTTTAATTAAATATTTTCTTTTATTTTTAGTCCATTGAAGATAGTACGGTTTTCTCCGATCAAGAATTTAATAGTTTCTCTGATCAATTGGGTCATCTATCTACAGTAATTTATTTATGAAATCATTCGTAAATATATTTGTATTATTTTAGCCAAATCCACCTCATAAAAATAATCCAGCATCTGAAAATCAAGTACCTTCACCACAAGATTCAGCACATATTCCACAAGCACCACCAGCATCTAATAGTCACTAAAATCAAACATCAATTAATATTTAAGCATCATTGGAATCTATCTATTTTTTTCTCTTTTTCTGTGTTTTTGTATTTAACATGCATGGCTATCTTATTATAAAGCAATAAAAAAAATTTGTTTCTATTCTTATGTTATTTTATTATAGATAAAAAGATTTTTTTGTTGAAAATAATGGTAGTACATAGTTTTTATGTAATTAATCGAAGTGGTGGTTTAATATTTTCTGATGAACATTTCATACCAAAAATTGAATTAGAAAAAACATTTAGTTATCCACTTGATTTTGTTTTAAAACAAGGTCAAAAAGGTGTTAACGTTGAATTTGGTCAACGTGATGGAATTAAAGTTGGTCATACAATTTTATCTATAAATGGTGTACCAGTACAAGGAAACTTTATTGATTTTTCTGCACCATCAACAACGGCCAATGATGATGATCAACAAATATCAACATCAACAAGTCACGATATTATTAGTTATCTGTCTGATTCAACAAATTATCCAGGTAAGACACGGTTTTTCTCATAGAATTTATCATTTTCTTCCTTTTTTCTTTTTAAATAAAGTCACAATAAAATTTGGACGAACAAGATTAAATAGTAATGAAAAATTAATTCTTGCATCAATGTTTCATTCCATGTATGCAATTGCATGTCAATTATCTCCTGAACTTAATTCCAGTGGGATACGTGAATTAGAAACAGATCAATTTAAACTTTATTGTTTTCAATCTATAACTGGTATTAAATTTGTTGCATTAACAGATACACGACAAGCTAATGTTGATGCTTTATTAAAACGTACATATGAATTATATAGTGATTATGCATTAAAAAATCCATTTTATTCAATTGATCAACCAATTTGGTGTCCTTTATTTCGACAAACAGTTCAACAGGCTATGGATTTATTAGAAAAAACTGGTTCACCTTATACATAACATTTATTTATTGTTATTTTATCGATCAACGCATTTTTTTCTTTTCCTAGAATAATTTTTGTTAAAACAAAAAAAACAAGTTTTTTTAATTATCCGTGTGAAAGATGAATAGTGGCAATAATTCAATCAATATTTGTGTGTATTTTTTTTCTTCTTTTGATTGATTTGTAAATAATTATCAATTATGAATGACAATTTATTGTTTATGGTCAATAACAAATGTATAGTTATTGACTCGGTCTATCGATAAATCGAGATAGACTATTAGCATTTCTATCGTGGCTTTTAAATATTAGCCATAAAAACATATGTATGAGGTTTGAATTGGCATATGACTCGGAATTCATTCCAATGAGAAAGAGCAAAAATAATAAAATTGATATTTTTGAACTCTTGGTTCGGTTTGTAGAAGATAAAGAAACAGCAATGTACGTTGTCATTTTTGAGGAACTTGAAACTCTTAGTAGATATGAGGGATTCGCATGGAATGGGCCAGAATTTTCGTCCCATAAGGCAATTCGACTCACCCCATTTCATGTGAGTCCCTGGTAGCAGCGGTGCAGAATCTGCTGCTACAATTAAAAATTTTCCCAACCGCCCGATCGCGCACTCGAGCACAGTATTACGGTCCGCTTTGAATTCGTACATAGCCCTATAATAACCGTTTTAGAGGAGAATACAGTATGTTTACGATGCCGTAAAACTGTGTCCATGATTAAAGGGTAATAACGGTTTACATTCCGAAAACGCATTGTAAAGGGCTCCGTTTTGATCGACCTGGGTTCTGCACCGGTGGTTGTCAGGTTTTTTAGTTAGTTATCAGAAAATTTAAATTTTCTTGGTTTGAAAATATTTATTTTATTTAATAGACAATAAAATAAACTGTACAAAAAATAATCGTCTAATTATAATTATAGTTCGCATAAAATTTAGTAAATCTTATGCTTTTCAAAAGTATTTATTTAAGATCTTTTGAATATAGAACTTGTTAGAAATTCATTTAATTCATATCGAAATATTGATGCACCATAACAATAAACAAAGAAATTAATCTAAATAAAAAAATTCAGATGAAAAGAAAACAAATAATCTAACTTACTGCATGACTTGTAAATTGCATAGATAAAAGTATACCTTGTAAAATATATTTCAATGGTTTTCTGTCAATTAACAAATTTCTTAAAAAAACATTATAAATCATAACTGGTGTTGTTAATAATACAAATAAAAATGTTACAAATAAAAGAAGATATGTTAATCGTTTTTGTTTACGTTGTCGATAATTTTGACTTAATCTCTTTTTAGTATCAATCGATACTGTTCGTATCAT